TAACTTTACCTTTGGTGCATGTCATAGGTTTACGTTGAAACAGAAAAGTGGAAGCGATGAAGATTCCATTGAAATCACTGTTTATGATTATTTTGTTAAGCATCGCCACATTGAACTTCGATATTCAGCCGATCTTCCTTGTATAAATGTGGGGAAGCCTAAGCGTCCCACTTATATCCCTGTTGAGGTGGAGCTATTATTCCTTCTTAAACTTGAAAAGCTCATAATGTTAGTGATTGCTTTTCTTCCTCTTGAATGTTTTTTCTTCCTTATTCAGCTATGCTCCTTGGTATCACTGCAACGATACACAAAAGCACTGTCCACATTTCAAAGAGCTTCACTGGTCGAGAAATCGAGGCAAAAGCCTCAAGAAAGGATGAGGGTTTTGTCTGATGTAGGTCTTGTCTTTCTCGCCCTACATTTGAATTTTATTTTTATTGATTCTTAATACTGCATCACTGAGGTCTTTGCAGTCTTTGAGAAAGAACAAATATGATGCCGAACCAATGTTACGGTCATGTGGAATTGCTATTAATTCAAACTTCATTCAAGTTGAAGGCCGTGTTCTACCTGCACCCAAGGTATTACTTGCATTTTCCTTCTGGTACTGTAGTTTATTTGGCCTTCTGTTCTGTCTTCTTGACCACTTAACGTTGTTGAGTTTTTGATGAATTTCTTAATTTTGAAGTTGAAAGTGGGCAATGGGGAAGATTTCTTTCCACGTAATGGCCGGTGGAATTTCAATAATAAGGTTGGCATTTCCCTCATTATTTAAATACCTTGTTAATCCTGTGACTTACAGTGTTGTTGAGTTTCAGAAATTTGCTCAACCTACCAAAATAGAGCGATGGGCTGTGGTAAACTTTTCAGCGCGCTGTGATACACGTGGCCTTGTCAGAGACCTTATCAGATGTGGTGATATGAAAGGCATTGTAAGTTGTCTTTTATACTTCATTGCTACAATATTAAACAAACAACTGATTGAAATACCTTTTTGGTTTATAGGCAATAGAAGCGCCTTTTGATGTTTTTGAAGAAAATCCACAATTCAGGCGTGCACCACCCATGGTTAGAGTTGAAAAGATGTTTGAGGAAGTTCAGTCTAAACTACCTGGACAACCGCAATTCATCCTTTGCATACTCCCTGAGAGGAAGAATTCTGATCTTTATGGTAAAGTTTACTTAAGGACTCTAAAATATAAATATTTGTCCGAGGATGAAGTTGATAACTTTATTTGTGTTTCTCAGGTCCTTGGAAAAGAAAGAATCTTGCAGAATTTGGAATTGTTACTCAATGTATTGCTCCTACACGTGTAAATGACCAGTACCTCACAAATGTGCTTCTGAAGATCAATGCCAAGGTAAGAACATACTTGGCTGCATTTTATTCGTATAGTGCCTGCTCCATTCACTTCTGTTCTTGCACTGGGGATGAGTTAATGCCCTATGCTGTTGTCTGTTTCTGTGAACTGTTGCATCTTTGTGGCTAAATCCTTTTATCTTCTGTAGCTTGGTGGGCTAAATTCCTTGTTAGCAGTTGAGCATTCTCCATCCATTCCTATGGTTTCAAAGGTTCCCACAATTATCCTGGGTATGGATGTCTCACATGGATCTCCAGGCCAGTCAGATGTTCCATCTATTGCTGCGGTAACTTGCTTTAATTTGGGCGTATTATGATACCCTATTGTCTTCCTTTTACTAAGCATGCCTTCTAATATATCCAAGTTTGATAGTATGTTTGGCCAAATTTTGTCATTAAAATTCTATGGAAATGTTTTTACCACCTGTTCTGTAGGTGGTTAGCTCCCGGCAGTGGCCCTTGATTTCTCGTTACAGAGCTGCTGTTCGGACTCAATCTCCAAAAGTCGAGATGATAGATTCTTTGTACAAGCGTACTTCTGAAACTGAAGATGATGGCATAATGAGGTGGGATAGCTTATCTTTTAAGCCACTGCTGGATTTTTTTTCTTAAATTCAAATACAATTCCGTTTTTAATTTCTATAGTTCTAATGTAATGTAATCCTGTGTGTGTGGGGGGGGGGGGGGGGG